TCATTTATTAACAACTCAAAAATCATATCCATAACTTGAAAAAAATATACTCTTGGCTTAAAAAATCTATCACTGACGTGAAGAAAAATATTTCATTGACATAACATTATATATCCTTGACTTGAAAAAGATATCTTTGCGATAAAAAATTCGTCCTTGACATGAAAAAATGTATCCTTGACTAGAAAAAATATATTTAGTTGATCAGAAAAAAAACTTCGTTCCAGTTTCGTCCATAATCCAGATATTATGTGCAGAGAATTCGTACCTAATCGTGATTTCAGCCAACACCATAAAAACTCTCATCAACTTTTGGCTCATTGGTGTTGACTGAAATCAACTTTTGGCAAGGCAAGAGTCAATAACTCGAAAAGTGGTCATAAATACGCTTAACTAGAAACTAAACCTGATGCCTTGAGGCGGCAAATCAAAAAATCATGCAATATGAAGTGTAATTTGTAATTCAAAAAGCTAGTCATAGTTTGAAAAGGTCATTGAGACAAATCTAATGATGTATAACACAAGACTTCACCATGGGCGCTTTGCCCCGTGACACGCGTGGGCCCGTTGCCCCCACTAGGTATCATTTCAATTTATATCGTGTCAACATTTTATTTTAAAAGCTAATAGTCTAAAGTTGGTCTCAAAATTATCCCTATAAATATTACTTTGAAAAAATAATTCAAAGTAATTTCAAAATCTTCATCTATAGTAATGGAAAAAAACTTTATTTAGCGGCAAAAAAATTTTTATCTGGACTAAAACAGTTATTCGCAAAGAACTTAATAACGCAAACACTTAGCAAAACGTAAATCCGTACACTTCATCCCAGTGAAACTGTCGACCGGCGGTAGAGAACACGGACCAATATCTGCCATACTTAGCGAGAAACCCGCTATGGGCCCGTGACCCGCAGTGGGCTCGCTGCCCCATGTTACCCTATTTTCCTCCTCTGCTTCAATGCCCCTTTGATAAAAGTTAAAATACCTTGAATAGGTATTTACAAAAAAATGTTAAATTATGGATTATGAGAATTTCGTTTCAGTATATCAGTATTTAATATCCCCAGTTGGACTCTTGTATGACTCATCTACTTAAAATATTATCATGCAAGAAATGAGCCAATTTAATCTTAGGGAAAATAAACAAGAAACTTTCGTTTGTTGTTAAATCTCGAGCGTTAACGTCGCTAAAGGAGACATCACTCGTAAAGCAGCAATGCTCGAGCTACGTCGCGGTTGAAGTAGGTCTGAAGTCAGGTGTCGTACATTTAAGTGGTAGCAAGTGGGATAAATTGTTGTGAGACTCTCAGAAGACCCGACATCTCTTTGATGCAATTGGCAACGACACGAGCGTAAACAAGCGGCGAACAGCGATAGCTTGCGCGCCCGACACGCCTGCTCTCCTGCCAATGATGCAAAGCCCATGGCCCGCGTGGCGTGAACCCAATGCATGTACTGGGGCGCCAGAGGGAAATTTCTGATCACATCTGCCTGATGTGGCCAAAAGGTAACTTCTGATCACCAGAAGGTAACTTCTGATCACCCTTGCACTGTTGTAAAAGGTAACTTCTGATCACCAGAAGGTAACTTCTGAGCACCCTTGCACTGTTGCGGCAAAAAGGTAACTTCTGATCACCAGAAGGTAACTTCTGAGCACCCTTGCACTGTTGCGGCAAAAAGGTAACTTCTGATCACCTGAAGGTAACTTCTGATCACCTCTGCACTGATGTGGCCAAAAGGTAACTTCTGATCGCCAGAAGGTAACTTCAGATCACCCTTGCACTGTTGCGGCTCAAGGTAACTTCTGAGCACCAGAGGGAAATTTCTGATCACCCATGCACTGGTGCGGGCAGAGGGAAACTTCTGATCATCTCTGCACGGTGCGGCCAGAGGGAAAATCAGGTCACCTGGAGTCTCAGCTATAATGCAATGCATATTAGCTTGACGACTGGCTGGCCAATTGCAAGCACAACTGGTTAAAGACTACAGAAATTGGAAGGAAAATTTCCCAACGTGCCTTCCTAAAGAAATACGATTAAGAAGCAGTGCACGATCGTTCTACTACATGTGTAAGACCAAGCCGCTGTTCATGTTAATTATGGAAGTTTCTTTTAGACTCTCAACTCGCGTACTAATCGTTTCCACATCTGCCATTGTTTATGTTGCGTCACAGTTTCCAGATTATTTCCATTATCGTAAATTTAGAATTTCTTTTATTCTGCATTGCCCTTGATAAGTTATCCCTTACTTTTGGGGTGACTACTTTTTTCGATTATTTTCAAACGTTTTAGTACATCTGCCACATTAAAATGAACATTTCCTACAATGAATTAGACATTAACGTCCCAATATTCGCTAAAATAGACTTCAAATAGACTAGCCCGTTAGATTCTCCACCGGCACGCAATATGTACAACGTAAATCAATTTTTTTAATTCATTCCTGATTTGACTTTTGAATAATTGATTGAATAATTATAACATCTTAAAAACTAACGCATATCTCGTAGTGCAAGCACCTACATTTATTTCTGTTACTTGCACTGGCAGCCAATTAATTGCGTGTATTAAAGTGTACAACATTTTTCTGGGTAGAACTATAATTATTTTCTATTGTTTGCTGAAAAAATAACTCATTTTCAAAAACCCCCTTGTGTTTTTCTGCAGGAAAATGAGTAATCCTGCATCAATAAGTTATAATATTCGTTTTCGTACAAGCTTTGCTAATATTTTTCTTCAACTTTTATTTTCACTGCAACCACCAAATTTTGTTGAAATTTATATCAAGCTCCCTGAACTATGCACGAGTATAATGCAAATAGTAGTCAAAGTACTTCGACATGTATAGGTCAGAGTCTCTCGTCATTTTGGCAATCAAGTGCACAAGTATGACGAATTTCATCATTATCATTCAAAAATACAATCAGTGACAGCATTTGGAGTTTATACCATAGATTCTATCGACCTTTCGAGCGAACTGATCTCAAAAGAAAGATAATACACATTATAAAAAATATAATATACCCAGATGTAAAAATACACACTTTGAGGCCCGAGGCGTCCCTGGAGATATGTGCATCACATGCTCAGTGCTCACTCACCCCGTTGAGATACATACCCTGCTGTATGTATCCCAGCATACATACAGCATACATACAGCATACTCAGATACATACAGCATACCTGCTTTATGTATCTGAGATACATACCCTGCTGTATGTATACTCACCCTGTAAATAAGCTGCTTTATGTGCGCGTTGCAGCACGATCGAGTGACTCCTGCATAACACTACGCATGACGCTCGAACAAATGATGCATTCTGTCACCTATGCATTGTCAATGCAGGGAACAAGTTGACGTAAGAATATTTTTCGTCGAAGTCTAGCTGCTACCTCATGCAAGCACCTTTCTGACCGGACAATGAAACCTGGGGGAATTATAATAGTTTACCGAAAGATCGAGAAATAGGTACTATATTGTAATTTGAAAATTCAACATTTATGTTTTAGAAATGTACAATTACAAGTAATGCAATGCAGTGGTTCTCTTAGAATTGAAGCTCCAGGTTTTCACTCAGACCAGGATATCTGGCCGACTGCGTGACCCGCCTGAGAAAATTTTTTCAATGCGAAAATGAATAAGCCAAATTTTATTACAATTTGTCTACTTCTTAATTTAAAACAAATGGGTAAAAGCCCATATTTATTCGACCTCTCCAGTGAGCTATTCAGAGTTTCAGACTTTCTTCGGCCGTCTGAGAAAAAAAAAATACATCGCAGCGGCGAGACTTTTCCATGTACGTGTTGTCTTATATAAAGGGTAGGTCTAAGGGATTAGGATCTCTTGAATAAACCTCAGGTGCGAGGAAAATTGTACTGGAGTATTGCTTACAGTATGGAATTCAAAATTGAATCCTTCTTACAAATATAAATTGGTTCACTTGTCGATAAATTGTTGTGTTACAGACGGTAAAGAGCGGAAGTGAAACAATACTTGAGATCTTTGTGCAGTGTCTTTTATTTTCGTTGATAAATCAAGTTGTATTAGTCAAAAATGGTCATTTGTATACCTTTAATTATTGAAATCATTTTTTTAGCGATCCAGAAGAGAGATAAGCTCAACCGCCAATAACATACCGCCTTATAGGGTTGATAAGACATTGCTGAAACTCAGTACGCTCACGAAGCAAAATGTAGCAAATATTGAGCTGGAAAATGAACGCACGAGCCAGCAATGCATTTGAGAGAACACGTCATGAGTTTGTATGAGTTATTATAACAGAATCAACTCGATTTATTGCACCTTCTACAGTATAACGAACGTATATGGATTGATTTAGATCGAGGAAATTAAAATGATTAATGCGAGGGTAATTAGAGAAAATGTAATTTTATCACACGATTAACCCCCTTGCAGGATATAATTTATTTTCAATTTAAATAAATGTTTCATATACTGAAGGTTGATTACACATGTGCAGTCTTATTATATTTATAGCTGAATTTGCTTTCAACAATATTTGCCGTCAACAATATATATACCGTCGTGCTAAGCGCTGGATGAGGTGGATGGTGCAAGTCACGAGTGTCATCAGATGTCCGCCAAGTTTATAAGTGCGACTTCAAGGATTTTTTTTTTTTGCTGTTCCATGAAGCGCCGAAACAATGAGGGTCTGGCATTTTAATTGTTCATTACAGTATGGTGCGCGTAACTGGCCCCGAAGTGTAGTTAAGGACCTAATGCTTATCAATATTACGGAATATTGATCATATTCGAACGCTGATAATGACTGGATTAGTTCATTGGATATTGGTTTCCATTCAAATAATTTAATCTCCGCCTGTCAAAATCTTTCGTCGAATTTCTTCACCATCGAACTTACAAAAATTACTTTTACCCTTCAATTGATGAATAAATTTGGGATTTAACAAAATATCGGATCAAATCATATCATATCGTTCAGTTGCGTCAATAATTTGGGGTATTGAAAACAAAGAATTACAGGTAAATAAATGTATTTTCTCTCATTTTAATACAGGACTGTACATAAGATGGCAAAGACGAATAATTTTATTCACATATAAAGTGCAAGCATATCGGGGCAACACACTGAAACATAACATAAAGTAATAAGCTATCAGGCAAGCTGCCGACCACGCACTGATGTGGTCAGGGAGCTCAAGCCTTGAGCACATCAACAGAACCAGTCAAATAACACGCACATTTCTACGGAAGATTTTTCTCCAGGCTAGAATTGTGGTATTAAATTTCATATTTCGCGCGTTAAAAACATAGTGAAGGTTTAAATTTTAATTGAGAATCCCACATATGTTCAGAATACTTAATTTGTACAATGTTAAAATAGTGACAAACTTTTTGTATCGCAATGAAAATGTAATCGAAAATTATTATATTTTTGTAGAGCGGTACAATATATTAAAAAATAATTCTTCCCAGCAGGCATTCCTCACACAGATTTCGTGAAAGTGACCTTGGTCTTTTAAGGATTTCATGTCACACTCCAAAGATCGATGTTGAGCCAGTCTTTCTCAACGTAAATTTGTTACGACCTCGACAGAAAGCCGTTGGCTGATAATAAAACGGGTGCCCGTGATCGATGGGCATGTATTACAAGGCGACGTTACAGACGTCATGCAAGTTTAATCATGCCTGGCTAATGGAAGGTTCTGAGGCCGAAATTGTGAATAGATCTAGTCATCTGTTACGCCAACGAGCGCCGACTGATTTGTTAAAGATGATCTTTCGAATTGAGTATAATTCAACTTCGGCGTTTTCCAATACATGAAGTTGAAGGCTTTGTGAGCAAAACATGATGAGTAAAATAATGAAAAAATGCCAAAGATTCCTGATATTCGAGAAGACCGGGAAATCAATAGAAGAAAATTCCACATATGAAAGCAATAGAACATTCGAACATCTTAGTTTGTTTCGCGATTACGTTTAAATGTTAGCAAATAGGCCAGTTCGCTGACACCTTCACGAAGCCCGTGTGATATGAACCAAGAGAAACAAACGGCTTTTTGGAAATCCTATTCAGGCTTTAACTCTACTGTGTAGAGGATGGACAGTTAGTTGATTTAATACTTGACCATTTCTGAAAACCTTTCAACTTAACAACGGTAAATATAATGTCTTTTATTAACTAAATGAAAAAACAGTGAGATGTTCGAAGTAATCCACTGAACTTGAAAATGATGATGCAAATCGAGAAGGAATACCTCGACGCATTACATAGAACATTCATCACAGAAGGAGAGCAGTATGGTACTTCAATCTCAAATGTAGTTTGAGATATATCATTTATTATAAAGTATATAGTTAGGTCTATGGTATACAGCAGTATTCCGCCTACACTAAGCTAAACTAAATTTTGGATCGGTGAGAAGGAAAGGCCTATTTAGTCTTTGGCAATTGATATGACTGATAAAAAGGTTCGCGGCAGGTTAAAACAAACATTTCTTTACTAAAAACCACAACCTGATTTTTTTTTTAATTTCGCAATTAAGTTTGTCTTAATCGAAGTAATACGAGGGCTGAACTACATATTAATCTGGACATGGCGTATTTAGGAAATGAAAAAATTCATATCATAACACGATTAGAAATGGGCACGATAAATATTCTGATGCAAGTATCACGCAGATATCGTGCAATACTCTAAGCCTACCTAATGCTATCACCAACCTCAAAAAGAATGTGGTTTATGGTAAGAATTCGGTTCAGGAGATATAAATGAAGCTTGTAGTACTTCAACCTACATAACTCCACACTTGAGGTGAGCATGAAAACTTTCAATACGACCCTGTTGAATTCGTCTCGAGTCTCGACATAATAGCGCTCTGTGTCTCAGAGGTCTTGTAACGCCACGAACCACTTTTAATGGACCGTAAAAGACAAGTACTATATGCAAAATCATTTAAAACAATTTATAAATGTGACACCGAGCACTTTTTATCTTTAGGATGTTTGAAATAATTTTCGTGCATAGGCGCATATACGAACTGAAAGTGACCGAACGAATACATATCAGCTATAATCATAGCATACTAGAACAAATTCGTATTACGCGTTAGAATCCGAAATGTCTTCGCAGGTTATTACCTCGAATTTGAACTCTATTTTGCGATGAATCTTATTCACAAACATTCATGCCCATCTGTCTTCAAAATATTTACCACAAGTCTTGGCTGAGTAAGCGTGAAAACCCAAAAAACTTATGATTGTCTTTTACAATGCATAATATTCAATTCCTGGCTAAACATTCGGTACTTAGGTTTCGATGATATTTCGACTGTGAACAAATTATAACAAATATTTAGGCTATAATGAAATCAGGAACAAAAGGGCACTTAATTATTGGGTGTTAAGCAGCCAAAGATATTCAGACAACACCTGGGGCAGCGAGTCGAGCAGCAAGGAACACCTAACTCGTGCTACCCGCGCCAAAATTCAACGAGACTCGCTTCAAAACCAACATCACACATCCATTATTCTTACGAGATAATTTGAGATCTCTCGAAACAATTACAATAACAATAACATTAAAACGGATATTTTCATTTTGCACAGTCCTGAATGATATTCCATTCCTTACACAAATATCGATTCTGTACCTGAATACTGAAGTCAATTACAGAAGTCTGATTCGACAAAATCGATAAACTTGTATAAAACAGCGGCAATGCGAGATTTCCCGACGATGAAATAGGCAATTATTGCGTATAATTGACTGCCATCAATTTTCTAGCAGTAAATTTCGTTTCAGTTTTCCATTAAAGTACATTACAAGATAATAAAAGACAACAAATGATTCAAGATTAAAAAAGTTTTTTACTATGGGTGAAGACCAGCGGTAGCGCCTAAGCTCCTAGCATAAATAGAATAGGGGCTATAGTAAGCTGATAATGGGTGAGGTGCGAGAGCTGAAAATGATGCCACCGAGAGAGCTGACGCTGGAGGCAAATGAGCTGAAGGCGGCAAATGGGTGAGAGAAGGCTTAGCGGCATACGGGTGATACCTGGCTGAAGCTGACAAGGGTGACAGCGGGGGAGTTGGGTACCCACGAGGCAGATGACCTGCTAGCAGTGGGTGTGGAGGGTGAAGTGCGTGGTGAAGTGATGCTAGTGTAGCTGCTGAGGCATCCACAGCAGAGGAAGTATGACTCCTGAGATGCTGCAGGAGTTCTTCAGCAGAGTTGAAGCGTTTGCCGCAGTAGCTGTCGCCTGATATCCAATTGCACACGTTCTGATGGCTGCTCACCGCTCCTCCCAACAGACTGGGATGTCCGTACAAACTGCTTCTGTAAATATAATGAAGTAGTGTATTAATACATTGCATATTGTCTTGTGTAGAAATTATGAACCAAATGATCAAAATAGGTGTTTATTAAAATTTGAATTTTGCAGCCCTATAAATTGATTTGTTAACATTCAAGTTCAAGATTTTCATGAGAAATGTCGGTAACATTCGAATTCAAGGAAAAAAATTATAAATTGCTTGATATATGAGTAGGTACGGTTGCAGGAGCGGTCAACGATCAAAAGATTGCGATCATTTATTCAATTTTAATTTCTTCGAGTAAAACAAAAGCTTTTCCGATAAAGTGGACAAATACAAATTAACAAAGAATGATGAGCGAGGAAGCGAGAGAGCGAAGAATGTTGCCTGTGGGTTGATCAAGGGAGCGTGTCAGTGGGCAATGAAATGTAGGCAGTGACCGTTAATTCGCTTGATAACGACGCCCTAAAACACGTTAACGTCTCGTAACTCTACGCTAGAGTTGAATGCTGGTCTCTAAAACAACACAACTACAGAGTTAACGACCGCCCCAGTCAGTTCCGTGGCCTGGTGTCTGGATAAATTAAGCTTTGTCCAATGACTGCGCCGCTCTGGATGCACGCTGCTCTAAGCAACACATTTGCATCACTAGACTCGTTTTTGCACGTGTCACAAGGCTGTATTCTTGGCAGATGTTAAAGTGAGTTATTCACTTTCTACCTAGAGTAGCTGCACAAGCGGCTTTTTCATAGCGTTGATTGTTCGATTATTAACAAATAGTTAGAAAGTATTTCGCTCGATTGTAGATGGTATAATTTTATGGCGGTGACGCTGATATTCGAAAAGAACACGGCATTATAGCCTGAATCCCTTAACATTTGTCTCTCAAAAGCACGCTGTGCGCTTATAACAAAAGCTTACATTCAGTCTGCAGCAAAAAACAAGTTTATCACAGAAAATTCATGGCCGGTCAACGAGCGTCGTCTTTTTATCCACGGCGACTTCACTTGGAGTCTTGACGATGAGTTTTATAGACGCATGGCAACGGTCGTCCTGCACTCTAATCTAAATAACAGCGCGCATGAGTGAGCAGCATATCTTCTAACAATGATTTGCATGTTAATGGAAGAATTTTTCCTGGCGTACTTCATCCATCAGGAAGTTTATCGCTCAGACAAGCAGTAATGGTTCCTTCTTAAAAGCACTCTGACACGTCGACACACGGCAAACATGCTTCACTTGACGTGATCATCAGAAAGTGACTTCCAGCGAAGGAGGTTTGCTGGCTAGCGGCGCCTACGATGTCGAAGAGGATCAAAACTGATCAAGCCGAGGCTTGCCGAACGTGGTGGCTTGAGATGAATAAAAGAAACTTATTGTTGAAACCGCGAGTGATTTGTGAAATTTGTAAGGAGCAGTGATTTGTTGATAGGCCTAAAAATAATTTAACTAGCATTTCTTTTGCAAAACGTATTCCAGCGTCAGTGCGAACTAGCAATGATGTTTAATGATGTTTGTGCTAATTTAAGAAATAAATTCTCACATTATAAGGGATTCTCATTGATAAATCTTGGTAGGAAATTAATCAGTGATTCAAATCGATGAATTCGTAATTAGATTAGTAATCAATAAACTAATTCAAAAGCATAACTTTATCGGCTTAACTTCAAAAAGTGCAGATCGAAATGTTTTTAACTTAAATTTGTATAACTTGAGCTCGCGCAAGGTGTGCGCTATTGATCAAGGGAGTTTATTGACCATAATAAGTATTATCTGTATCATCATAAGTATCATCTGTATCATCAATGAAGATTTATTGCGGCCCAGGTGCCGAGACGGACTCTGATGGCCGCCAGAAGGCTACATAAAACAACATATGGAGCTATTAAAATTGACTAATTAAGTCACAAAATAATTTTAATAAATTGTACTGATTTAGCGCTTCACATAAATGATAATAAATGTAAATAACGACTTTATAATAAAAAGATCCTATAAATTCCCATAGATAGTTTCATTATTAATAAGCAACCGCAGTAGGTATATTGCTACGTTATAAAGTGTTATAAAGTACAAATAATGCGCCGTAGATAATAAAGCAATTATTTCTTTGCACTAGAAATAATTATTTCTTTGTACTAGAAATAATTATTTCTTTGCTGAGAAATAATAATTATTTATTATTTTTGAATAATTTGCTGGATTATTTCTTTACACTCACAGTGCAGAGGCGGGCAGTGAGTGAAGTACGCTGGGTAGCGCCGCTGACAAATTTTTGGAGTACGTGTTGATTTGTGAGCACTGGGAGCAGCCAGGCGGGCAAGAGCCGTTGACGACTTGTGCTGCATGGGTATTGACTTGGCAGCCAGCACAGTACGGGTCTCGGCATACGGGAATAACGGTCTCGCTGCCACCCGTTGTTTTAACGCGAGTCCAGGTGATGTATGGGCTACTGAGTGCTGTGGTGAAGCTGCTGCTGCTGTGGCTTCCGGTAACTGCTGTGGTGGATGCAGTGGAGACCTGGTAATGAAGAAATTCTGGAATTAAAAAGACGAAAACGAGCAAATACATTCATAAAAAATTTTTGAAAACGTTCTGATAGCAAATTTTTTGTTAATGCAGTGAATTTATGAGTTTTTTTTTTTTTGACAATGAAGAGAGTTGAACTGCGTCAATCATTTCTCAAAAGTAAGGATGGAACTAGGTTAGGTACTTCTAATCTTGCTTCTGTATCTAGTTTTAAGCTGAGACATTGTGCGCTAAAATTCGAATAACCCTCAGTTACCGGCTTTAATTGCCATTGGACATTTTGTGACTAACTGGTTTTTGAAATAGTAACGTTTAAAAATATAAATGTTTTAATATGTTCCATTTCATGCCGATCCATCAAGAATCAATGTGGGTGAGCAGTGACACATGACGCTCGTTTATCGTGATATTAACCAACGCAATTCATAACGATTTGTCAGCCTTATAAAAACGAACAGATTCAATAAATCGACTCGCATGTGCATCAACAGGACCTGGATAGCAATTTGGCTCACACTTCCTAACAGAAAAATGACCACGATTGATGGCAGGGCAGTGCGGACGAGTGGCCAGAATGGCAGCCTTAGTCCCTAAACTTGCGTTCTTCAGCGGCCATAAACCTCATTGATGATAGAAGTCATATCTTTGAAGGTCTTTAATTCACCAAACGTACATTCTTCTCTTCCATCGATCAACTAAAGTCGCTTGATTGAAATGGATGTGAGCAGTAGACATTTAACTGCAACGGTACATTGCTGCTTGTGGATGATGGATATGCGACTCTGGAACTATCGTTTGTCATCCAGCAAACGTCAAAAGAAACTAATAAAAATGAATCGAAACTCGGCTACAATTCATATTTTAAGGCTCGTGCAACTTTGGGTTTTGATATATTCTCTGGCCGAATTTACTGATATTTTCTGGAAATTGTATGCAATTTCTTTCACTTTTTCACTTTTGATTGCCCATGCGAGGTGATTGCGTGGGATAAAAATAAGCATAATATTGACATCTGGTCTCGACATTGCAAGGAGATTATGATAATAAACCCTTTGTGAGGTGTTACTCCATGTTTCGTCGTTAGTGTGAAATAAATGTAGCAATATTTTAGGGACGCAATATGTATTTTTCATTTTAAATACCGTGAAGGAATTACTCAAGACTTGAGTGAAAAGAAATTGAGATAATCGTGAAATTCAACATCGGTTTTTGTGGAAATAATATCGATTGAAAGGATACGACATGTCAGGCGATACACTGTAAGATATCTAAATAAAAAAAGGTATATATATATCAATTACAGCAAAAGATAAATAATTTTATGGTTTTAGCGTGAAAAAAAAAGAGAGAACGAAGCTAAAATATGAGTCTCGATTCGCTTTTCTCCGTTTGAATATTTTACCATATACAATAGAAGAACTTCTACCTTGTACATTCGTGACCTTAATTTATTCAAAACAAGAAGTGAAAACGAACATTTAGCAACAACAAATATATCACTTAACCAGATACTTATCAGCACAAACAAAAAGAAAACCACTAAAATCTTGCCCGAGCATAGACTCACCTTGGCAGTTAGAGCTGCAAATCCAGCAGCTCCGAGGGGGTCGAAACCGAGGCCCAGAGCTGGGTAAAGTCCAGGTGAAAGTTTGTAGGCGGCCAGAGGGTCCTTACAGAGCTCACTGAGCCCAGATAGCGAGCCCAGACCCAGGGACGATGAGAAGCAGCCCAGCTTAGGCATGGCTGATAACGGGGACGAGGTTCTGACTGACGTCGACGACGAAGATGACGAGTATGAGGGAGTGTCGTTGTGGTTCCTGGTCAGAGAAGAGGACGAGGCTGGCCTCCCCGAATCACTTCCCCGCGACGACGACCTGTTGTGGTGGGGAGTGTGACAGCCGTTGACTGTTGGGGATCCCTGAGAGGGAGGAGAGAGTCGGGTGGGAGTTTTTCTGCAGGGAGAAGATCGTTCCTCATCCCCATCCTCTTTCTTTTTTTCGTAGGGTCTGAATGAGGCAATTTTGATGGCCGTGGATTCGTCGGAAGATTCGACGCTTGACGGAGATTTGGCGACCGGTGAGGATTTGGAGTCTTTTGGCTTGGCCTCGCCTTTTTGGGGGCCGTCCGAGCCGATCTGGGAACAGGTGGCGGCGAGTAGCGCCAACGGGGATTTCTTGGCGTCCAACTGCAGGAGGGAGACAGCCGTGAGACACAGTGATGGGGGGCAGGGGGGTTGCGGTGAGACTGAGATATGGGGGCAGGGGGGTATCGAAAATGCGGGAAGGCGAGTATACGGGGGTAGAGGCATCAGTGAGAGCGAGTATACGGGGTAAAGGGCATCAGTGAGAGCGAGTATACGGGGTAAAGGGCATCAGTGAGAGCGAGTATACGGGGCAGGGGCATCAGTGAGAGCGAGTATACGGGGCAGGGGCATCAGTAAGAGCGAGTATACGGGGCAGGGGCATCAGTAAGAGCGAGTATACGGGGCCAGGGGCATCAGTGAGAGCGAGTATACGAAGAAAGGGACAGTATACGTAAGTACAGGGAGAGCAAAACATAAGCAAGTTGGCAGTCATATGAACACGTAGGTATATTATTTCTGAAGACATAACGCAATCCAGCGTCGCTGCGCAGTGCAATGTGAGGGTACAAGTAATCATGAACAAACAGCAAATAATAAGAGTGATCGTTAACCGGTTTGAGGATTAAACGTCAATTATGTATGTTTTATCAAGTAAAAAATGCAGTGCGGTCGTGAAACGAATGGATTTTGGATGTGGTTTTATGTAATTTTGCCTGGAATAATTTGATGTTTAGGGAGTGTCTGAACATAATGCGCGTAATGGACGAAATTTCCCGATAAATATCCATGTATCTGCACGCCAAGAAAAATCTATTCATATGGAATGAACTAAGCTTTTACATAAAACTCCGGCAGCTTCCTGGAATATTCATGTATACTTCCCTAAAGACAAACACTTACTACCCTAAAGCCGGAACTAAAGCTTATGAATCGAGTTACTAAACTAAACTATACTAACTAAAGCTTATGAATCGCGGTTAGTCATTTTTATCCGTTCTCATCAATTCTCGTCTCAATTTATTTTTTTCGCTTGCTATTAAACTTGAGTGTAACGTGCCTTCGAAGTTCGTTTGAACCAGACGCCGCGATAACATCTTCGTATAATGATAATAATAATCAAACCCAGAATTTTTTATTTCTGGTTAAAGTCATTTAAAGTGAAGCAAATGTGGTGGTCAAGAACCTAGAGCATCAGTTTCCTCTTTAATAAAGAATAAGAACTATCATTTAAAGATAAATCGCACCCAATATAATCTGAACTTATTAATAAAACAAAGAAATTATCGTTCGAAGTATACGAGCACCACAAAATTGCCAGGCGAACATACATTTCTTTAATCGTTATACGAATAATTTGGTCGGCACTGTCACGATAATGTAATTTATTGATTTAAACGGTGGCAATTAAGTAAATAATTTGGCTTGAACGGAGACAATAACTTGAATAATTTGTTTATAACTAAGTGAAGAAAATAACTAAGTGAAGTGAAGTTTATAACTAAGTGAAGGTCGGCATTTGGTCACCGTAGACCATTCTGTAAATTGCAGTAGCGGAGGTTTCGATCGCCTAACTGGTCAGGCCGACAGAGGCGGACAGACAACACATTATTTAGACATCCAAATAAAATAGTCCTAAAAATTACGAAGGAGTCACAGGAAAAAGGTGATTGATGTATAAACAAATGCATTTATAATATAATATAAACAAATATCATATCACAGCTACGGATTTGACGTGAAGTGATAAAACTTTATAATTTGATAAAATTGATAAAACTCAGTTGTATAGATGAAAATAAGAGGTCCAATTACTCTGCCAAATCACTGTGATTCAAAACCATCTCGATTTTTTTATGGTCTGAAGTTCTGAACTCTAATAAACACTAATACAATAGCTTTTACTGGATGCCGGCGCAGTATAATAAATAATATGAAACAGATTAGCACAAGTATTTAAACATAGAAATGATAGAATTAAAGACACGATGAACATTCACACAATCCACAAAAATATTTTGAGCTCACACTTTTCACCGACACCAATACTCACTTCAATGGTATTGCCTTGAATGGGACTCAAATATTCAGGTCTAAGATATTGATTGGCTGATGAAGTCAACATTTTGTCTTTATTTTCTCTATCCACAGCTGTACGAGAGTAAAACGCACCACGAAGTAACGAAATAATTTGAGAACACTGCAAGCACTGGGCACGCCAGACACTGTTCACTGGGAGCAACGAGCGACACACATCCTCTATCGATGGCAGCAGCACACTGAATGGCCTCGCTGGATTTGAGCGCTGACACATCGACGCCTCACCCTAAACCTCGCATCGAATTACCCTGAGCGCCGTCACATCCCTGTCAGCACCTTACCCTAAACCTCACGACTAGTTTTTTCGAGTGCTGACACTCCTGTCAGGAGCGTCGTCTACAACTCGTGTAGAAATATCCTAACCGGTGACATATTTCTGCCAGCAACTTACCCTAAAGTCCTAAACATTGCAGCGAGTCGCACCAATGAGCTGACACATTTCAGCAAGCACCTCACCTACAGTTTTGCGCTGTCAAAACCAACATCTCACTCACAATCATTTGCCAGAAAGTTTCTTGTAAATGATTTCTGCATCTTTGGTACTATTAAATTTGTTGCCGTGGCAAATGGTACAGTACAGAAATACGGAAGATTCAAATTACAATGTGAATGGTCAGGAGTCAAATGGTTTGAAGTGGTGAGTTCCTCCCACTGTTACCACCTTTCAGAAAAAAACAGATGGATATTCATTTTAGATGAGCTTATTAGTATGCCGGTTACTTTACGTAATTGAGTTTACGGGTAAAATTACACGAAAGCTAGCAATCTTCGCGAAAGCATCATACGTAGATGACCGTTGTAATTATATTTCAACTTTATTTTATACTCAGAAACAAACTTGCTGACGAAACTCTGATAATTTGTAGTGATAATTGCCAGCGACATAAATCATTGACGCGATGACAAGGGATTAACAAGAGTGTGACGCTTTCATTAGAATAACGAGCTTGAGATGCCTGCTGTAACTCATTGTTTCGTAACCATAACAAACGATGGTGAAAGAGGCATTAAAACCGGCCGTAATAGGGGGACCACAGCAGCTTTGATACGGGCCGAGCCAGGCTACCATTGGCTAGATTTTTTTAGTTCTCTGAGCGGCGATGAAAGGCTGTTGCTGATTGGTGGAGGATTGCTTGGTGTCATCACTTAACATGATGAATAGACGAGTGATGACTGAAGCTCACAGCCACCGATCAAACGAACGACACTAATGATCTGACACAGACCCTTAATGTATCGTTCGTTCCCTGTCACTTTCGTCCGACCTGCTCGCTAACACACCGCGTTCCTCCTGCTTGCACCAACTTGCAGTAGTAAATAAACTCTCAGCAAATACGATGCAAAATTGAAGTTTAAATATATACGTAGCTTTGTAAATTTGTCGGGAAATTGATTGAGCCTTTAGTGGGTTAACTTAACTTATAATCCCGTCCACAAGAGCTTTCTAAACGATCGTTCAGAGAGCGAGCAAGCGCCAAGCCTTGTTAGATCCCACACTGACGCTGTGTGGAGAGTGTATACAATGCGGATGTGTGAACTGAGCCTCGTATGATTTGTGGAGTGACTTCCTACCAGCTGATGTGTGGAGTGTGAGTCAGTGTAGTGCCTGTTGAGTGATATCCAGAGCCATGTGATCGAGTATTAGCTGACAGTATCAGCTTGCGTGAGTGGTTGCAGTAACATTTTAATTTTGAGCAAGATAAGTGCGAGCTTTTGGGGAGATGGCGTACACGCTGCTTGGTAAAGCCTCACGAGTCAAGTGCTAACGTGTACTGATATTAGTGAACTAAGAAAATGAATAATAGAGTAAATGATCAATAGTGGCAGTTATGAAGTGAGAACCAGACAATGATTAGACGAAATAGCAGCTAATGAGTGCAAGGATCAATAGCTGCAAAAGAACACAGGAGCACTAACTTTAGCAAAAAGAACATTCCTGTCATGAAAAACATGAAAATTGAAACGCAGAGTGAGTAACCTCTCACAATCCAGATGCAATGTTCAGGTGTGTTGATTGAGGACTTGCTGGTGAGTCGAAAAATGATGTGCTGGTGATTAGAACGAGCTTTTTCATGTGAGATTAAGTGGAGATCTGCACTATTCACACAATTTAGAAATGAATAGCAGAATAGATTGTCGCGAACGCAATTCATGTTGTTCTAAGTATATGTAAACACGGTCAGAAGGTCAGTACACTTGCATTTTCATGTCATTTCGTTCACATCAGGGTAGATTAAAGTTTAGGAGGGGAAGGATGCTACGCAAGTCTGGGGGAGGAAGTCGAGGTTTGGGAGACGGGCGTTCTTATCATGTCGTCCGTAGCGGAACACGCGAGGCGACACCTCGCGCCCGACGTCCGTGTGTCCGAGCGTCCAGCGTCGCGCTGACGCCCATGTCAGCTCTCGGAGGCTCTAGCGTTAGCAAGATAACGCGCGCCGACTCAGCGCTCGGCGCCGGGACTTGTGTGGGGGTTACGAGATACTCAACTAGTGAGTAGCATTTAGGAAAAACTTTTTCTTATTTACGGTTATGGTGATCTCCAAGATTGCACGTATTCCTCAAAATAAGTAGTTTTAGGAAGGTGTCGTGGCATCAATCTTGGCATTCATAAAATACTTCCGAGAAACTCGACTAGTAAGTAGCTGTTAGGGAAAACTTTAATCCTGTTTGCGCTTATGATTATCACCAAGATATTGCACGTATTTCGCAAGATAATTGGTTCTAGGTAGTTGACTTTTGGCATCAAATTCCATTCATAAAATACTTCCATGTCATTTAAAATTGAAAGTTACCGAACTTTCGTGCTGAATATTTTTACATGGCTAAATGGCGAAAATCCCCGAAGGTACAGTTGTTGAAGCAAATAATGCTCTTTAAACTTTTAAATTTCGCATTGATCAGCCGGCAACGCACTTAAACAGCTGAAGTACGGTTGATCACTGTTTTGACGACTATTTTGAAGTATTGTAACTAGTCTCGTAATTATTTGCTTTTTAATTGCAAAAGTGAATTTGAAATCGAGTCCAATACTTATTGAAACTTGTGGTTGATAGACACTTATAGGCTTTTTTACATCAGCCTGATTAGGCAATATCATCGGTACCGAAAACATTTTCATCCTATTAACTTTGAGAAATTCATATTAGTTTCTAAATAACGGTATGGAAATTCTGAAGTAGTTTGTTGTGCAGTGTGAAGCCTGACCCGGCACATGTCAATATTTTTGCAATGTCAATATTTCTGATGGGATTGATAAAAATAACGGCTCTATAATAGATCTTGTTCATCTGTATGTGTTATAATTTGATTGATATGTTTATTAATTCTTCTTTCGCAATGATGGTTTAATTTGTAAGAATAGAGATAACCACGCACCTTGTATCAAACCTCAGATTCTAACGAACCCGAAATTAAAGAGTAGATGCTAAAGAGAGGCAAATCTTCACTTTTGGCACCAGCTCGTTTATTATTCTATTCACGAGAGAAGATAACAGTGCAATAAAGTGCTTATCAGCGAGGGCTCTCAATCACACTCTTAACGATCGTGTGAGCTGCGCGCCAAGTGTACATTAACTCTGGCCCTGAAATTGTACATAAAGTGAAAGGCAAACCACTGCTTCAAAATAATAATTACAGACAATCCTGTCTTAAGATAGTTATTCATTTGTTCCGTATACCGATAAGAACCCGATATTCAATATTTCAAATGAGATATCAATAAACGCCTATTATTTTTCGAACCCAGGGTTAGTGAAGCAGTTTCAGGTTCTTTACAATGCGATAATTTAATTTTAGACTGATTTTATTCCATTTAAAATTTTATTCCATTTGATTTTAGACTGATTTTTTTGTTACATTTTCTATTTCCAATTTTGTCAAGATATATCGACGAATTTGTTTCAAATATTGATTTCATCATTAAATTTACTGTAAATAATCCTACAATTTACTCCAGTGAAGATGGACAATTAAGATTTTCTGTTAACAATCCCTGTATTTACTCCATTGAGGATGGAAAATCAAAAGTTCATGATGGCGAACCAAGAGTCGGCCGCCAGTGCACGTTTCGTCGGCGTGAAACATAGGCGCGATTGCGCTCATCATCGTCGGTATCGCGGCGCTTTAATCTGCCTTGCCGCAACCTCGTTGGCGCTGCCGTCAAAGGCGGACCGACGCAAACAAGCGGCGTTTTATCTCAAGAAAACTCTTCCGTCTGACGCTGGACAGTCACACATTGTTCAGGCTACAGGGTCGAGCGCTCACTCCATGTCATGTTGACGTTACGCTTTCGTGTATGTTCAAAGTTTTTGTGACTGCAATGAAAAATACGTTTCATCTAAACCTTCAATCTAATGAGGAGGATAAACATGTAAAAAGTAGCATGAACGTCATTAGGGTATGTTTTTTCTTGATGAACACAATTATTTATTTTGTTAACGAAGAACTACACTGACAATTATATAGAGTGATAACTCCTAAATTCTGATTTATGCTGAGATTTTGAATTATCACTTGTGTAATTGCAAGATAATCAGTTTATTGTAGGAAAAAATTAGAAAGGGAACATTATTTTTAACTAATATGCTTGTATTTGGTAGCCTTCCCATGAAACAAGCATGTGAATTTAAACGTTTTTGCTTCAATTAAATGTTTTGCTTTGCTGTTTCTTTTAATTGAAGTGCCGATGATGCTGGAAAAGAATAATTATTTATTTTCTAATTGCCTGTTACAGCCTGAGTCGAGACACAGTCTATTTCGTCAATTATCTCTTACAGCCCCAGTCACTAATAAAATTTGTCACAGACCCACGCCACCTAATGTTTTATGGAGAGTGATGAGTGAAATTGTATTTTTTCTGGCCGTTGACCGCACATTAAGTACTTCAGCACAAGTGCCTCTCAGGGCTTTGGTCCTAATTCAGAATTAACTTAGGTGAATAGCATCAATCAAGTTGTTTTGAGTGCGTTTGAATAGCAGCACTCTTACCTGCGCCATAATTAAAAAGAGTCTCAAACAATGCAATTTTGGTAAGACGCCCGAGACGAACACACTCATGAACGATACTAAAACTGTCATTCAAGTAGGGAAAATGCCTGACAGCCGGCTGATAAGCCGACCACCAACTGCACCGCTTCATTAATTTAATCAGCAATATTAGCTCCGAGGTCTTAAGAGATGCAATTAAGCGACGTGTGTCGAGATGTGCGT